CAAATATACGAGACAACTTGATTAGTGCGTCTAAATTCGTGGATGCCTGATGACAGAGTTCAGTATGCGAGAACAGTTTTTTTATTTCTAACAACAGTGTTACTGAGACATACAGTTCCCTAGAGGAAATTAAGATCAAAGTAGGCCTTGAAAAAGTTCACCAGAAAGTGGACTCGCACGGGACGAAGCAGATAGGTTAAACTCACTCGATAATCAATCACCAAATATTCATCTCGACAAATCGGACATGGATTGGATGTGATGAGCTTTCGCCCAATCTGAAGAAAACAAAAGAGAAACGACACAGTGACAGCGAATAGATAACGCTACAGATTGTTTGAGTCATGGAGGAATCCACGGGGATGGGTTGCATACATGGCAGCCATTCGGAATTGTCGACATTCTTCTAGCCGTTCTTACCAAGAATTAGCTGAGACACCAGTGCAAACCATGTACCACATTCTGTCACTGGATTTCATGCACGTTGAGCGACTTCAATTGCCCAAACCTAGCTAAATCAGTGATCTCTCCACAACCGCTTGAGAGGCGACTCGCTCAGCTCATGGAATCCTATCCACTTTACAATTTGTGAAGGAGCCAGCCAGTCATCGTCGGCTATAAACTTGGTGTTAGCTAACGAAAAACTGATGGTGGAACCGACTTCCACGGCAACTGCATTAGGAGGCGTAGTGATCATGCTGACGTTGACGTTTGACTACATTTGCTATGCATCCGTACCGCATAATTCTACGGTTATCTCCTGTATGTTTGTTGACCACACCAAACTTAAAATTTTAGCGAGATTTTCAATGGAAATTTACCAACGAACAATGTGATACCCTGGTATCCTGGGAAGAATTTACGAATCACCTGACGGGAATGGTGAAGGGCGTGTGCAAGGGCAAACACATTACCTACTCAACTGATCAAAAATCAGTAATTCGAAGTCGAAAAAGAAGTGGATTAGGCCGAGAAGTATCTCATGGAGAGCTTAGAAACGATTTCCTTGCAACAAACCATGGTAAACCCACTGTCTACTTCGAAAACACTGCACCAAGTTGGCACGAGAATACAAGGTAATGTACCAAGAAACGCTGATGCGCAGGTTTATATCCAATCCCAAGCTGTTGTGCAAACACATAAATGCCACCAGAAAAGTAGAATCTGGCGTTCCAGCGCTAAGACTGGCAGAACGTGTTTCAGTCACAATAAAGGAGGCAGCTGAAATGTTAAAACGTCAGTAGGCTCAAGTGCTCATCACACTTGCGGACACCGAACTACAACTATCTTTGTTACTTGAGGATATACCACATATAACGCCCACCACAATTGATTTTTCCCAGAAATGATAGCATCGAAACTTCAGTGTTTGAAAAGGACCCCATGTTCGGGGATAGATTGCATCCATCCACAAACCCTTATCAACCTGGAAAAAATATAGCTCAATCAATAAGTGAACTATTCCAACTAGTGTTCGACAAAATTGTGCTCCCAAAAAATGGAAACAAAGAATAATTTTTTTATTGATTTGAGCTGACTATCCTTCGGACTTCACCTTCACGCACAATTCTCAGTTCATCGATTGAACCATACAATCGGAAGCATTAGACCCGAGTTTCGCTCTAGTCTAGTGCTTCCGGGTGTATGGTTCAATCGATGAACTGAAGATTGTGCGTGAAGGTGAAGTCCGAAGGATAGTCAGCTCAAATCAATAAAAATTAATTATTCTACACTACTACTCACAAGTAATTGTGAGTCAAATACGAAAGAATCATTTCTCCAATATACAAGGGTGACGGTCATAGTGACCCAGCTAACCATCGCCCCGTTACCCTCCTCCCCGTAGTCATGGAATCCACTGCTGCAGACAATGTGATGATTCAATGGGAAAAATACGTTTTATCCCCTGCTCAACATGGATTGAGTCCCAGGCGATCGTGTACCTCTAAGCTGCTTCTGGCCCGAGAAGAATGGACAAAAAGTAGCTGATTACATGGAAGTGGAAGTAGTGTACCTCGACTTCTCCAAAGCATTCGAAGAAGTGAACCACAAATACCGCTGAGAAAACTATACGACTATGGAATTCGGGGACTTGTACTGGATAGAAAAATTTCTTCGACAACGCATTATGGCAGTTCGGGTTTTTTGGTCACTTTCTGATCCTATCAGCGCCTTCGAGAGCCTCAGTATGGTCGGGGTGGTTGTCTAGGGTTTCTGCTGGTCACCCTGCCCTTGCACCTCACGAAATGCCCCCATACAACCAAGCGTCTCAAACAGCCTCTGCTGAGGAAGCCCTATTCACTGCCCTCTCGTAGTGGAGGTGTTTTCCCACTAAAATGAGAGGATGAAAAGCCGATATCCGGAGCTATAACCGGGTTGGTGAACCATTGGCTGTTCACTTAGGGGAGCTGGCTAAAAACCCTGATTCCAGACCAACCAAGAAGAGGCCTAAGAACCACATACACACCTTCCCGGTCGCGTCAGTGGTCACTGTCTCGATTGGTCATCGAGGTGTATTGGGCATATTGGACGTCCAAAGGGTATATGATCCAATTAACTGGACACTAGCCCCCAACGGACTGCGGACTCTGAGCTCCGTTCTGTTGTCTTGCAGGTCCGGCTTTCTAGCCAAAGGCTTCGGGTGGGGACTCCGAGGCTTTCCCCTTAATCGGTAGGGGCAATCGGGAAGTAACACGCCTACACAACCCATGAACGAATTCTTCAAATTTCTTTCTGTTCATATGTTGTGGCACATTTACCAGCTCCCTGTAATCGGTTACGTGTTGAACATATATATACCTATCAGTGTAGCAGGAGGACTTCCACAGGGATCCGTGTTTGGCCCTCGACTTTTTCTATGAACGACCATGAACGACCTGACGGACGTTCTGGGACCACAAACGTTAACGTTTGCAGGCGATGCAAAAATATGGAACAGAGACAGAATCCGAGGGCTCGCGAACACTTCAGAGAACACCTAATGCTGCTTATCAATGGTCGATCGAAAACGACATCGAATTTAATGCACCAAAATGTATGATCGTGTCCCTTCGCCACAAAACTCGGTTTCCGTACTTCATGAGATATCAACAACTTCCGTACGTCTCGAATGAGAAGGATCTCGGTGTCAGTGTTCAAGACAACCGAAGTTGTACTTTAAACTGCTCCAGGGCGAGTTGTTTCGCTAAGGAGAGTATCTATCAAATTTAACCCTACGCTGTTCCCGCGTTTGCTATCAGCCTGCATGGAGTATGCAATTCAAGCGTGGAATCCATGGCTGTAACGCTGTAACCATAAGATACCGGAACATCCACGAAGAATGGCCACCAAAATGGTCAAGGGACTGCATTTCAGGACTTATGTGGAAAGACTGGAATCATTGGGGCTGTACTCCATACAGTATCGCCAAATTGGAGGTGATTTGATTTTGGTGTATCAAATAATGCAGAGCCCTGATCACCCATGTCATTCAGTGCTCGCCCAGTCACCCAACAGTCATCTTAGAGGGCACTCATTCAAAATAGTGCTCTGAAAATGTCGACTAGAATGCCTGGGTCATTCATTTGCCCTCAGAGTGTGGAATGTTGTTTCTGCCACCATAATTGATTCTTTCAAGCGCAAACTGAATGAAACCTTGACAAGCCTTAGATTTAAACATCCGTTTGCAGTGCACGAAACGATGATAATTTGTGATATCCTTCATCTTTCTATGAACCGTAACTGACTGATTATCACTGAAGACGACACGTGAAAAAGACATGAATTGGCAATTGAGCTCAGCCCTGCCATGAGCTGGTTGGTACACACACGCCTTCTATGCGATGGGTCCGGGGTTCAAAGCCCAAGCGAGACGGTGGATATGCACTAATGATGAGCTCTAATAAGATCGAAACTCGGGCCTAGCGCTTTTCAGTGTACGATCGACTGAAAGAACTGGCGATTATGTGTAGGTGAAGTTTGAAGGATGATGAGCACAGATCAATATCGATTATCCCACACCATTACTCACAAGTAACTGAGTTAAATGTGCATTGCAAACATCTGTACAAAGCGGAGTACGGTGAACTGAACTTCACTGATCGCCGCCAAACTCAATATGCATTTCAGGAAAGTGAGAATATTTGAGGTGATCAGAGATTGAGCTTTTTGTCAAGAAGGGGGAAGAAAGCGAACCTTGATGGTCCAAACAACGATCACACGGTTTGCACGGTNTTTTCAAGCAACCTGATCTGATAGGAATTGACGGCAAGAACACTACTGTTGTCCATTAACTGTCATGTCCTTCAGCATCCCTAACCGAACAATTACAATTATTTTGTATCCCAAACGGAAAAAAGAGACATACTCCGTCTAATCGTTCTGTTTTCTTTCTTAAAGCCTCGTCTCCATGTCATCTGTTGACTTGCAGCCCGGAACGGCAATGACAAATAAACCGCAAGCCGTTAGGCGATCGTTTAGGCGTACGCAATAGGTGTCTTAACCAGCGAGGTCTATCGACCTGAATTCGACGTGATAGTGAATTCCTTCCAATACATTCCTGAAGGTACTATTAGTTGCATCCAGGTTACTAAGCCGCCCACCATGAGTCAAACTACGTAAGAATCGATTATCGCAAACCTCCAGGGGACGGATGTCATTTGGATATTCAAGGTCGAATAACCGTAAAACAGGACTGACCAATTAATGACACAATAAACGCGACGGATAGAGAGGGAGAGAAAAACGACCCGTTTGATCACGTGAGTCACCAGAAAGTTAAAAATACAGATTGGTTTAAACTACAGGCAATGTGTTCTGAACTGCATCGGGACCATGCTTTAACAAGATATTACAGGGAATAGGCAAACACTTACCACACAATTTCTTCTCGTTCTAGGAGGCGGAAAGTGACCTTTGAAATTACGCCGATAGTAAAACCATACTGGTTTTCCTCGATATATATTGTGATAGACTGTAACAGAGCCAGAGATAGAATGGCTCCGGAAAACCGCATCACTTACCACCGGAGTTCATATAATCCAGACTGGTGGCCAAATCCACAGGGTTATACTCTTTTCCTTTGGCATTTTTGCGAACTGTATCTAATAAATCAGGCTTGCCTCGACCCCGAGTACGGCCCGGATCATCGGTCTGCGGGATTCCTACTATTTCATTATCATTGACAGCTGGGTCAGCATCGGGTTCCAGTTCGACTGCTGCATCTGATTCGGATTTTGAGGTCGCATAGGAACGAGATGTGATCTGACCACTACGGTTTACTCGTGTAGTATCGAAACGCACAAAAGTAGGTGTTGTCGATGATGATGATGATGATGAAATCGGTGAATAAACAGAAGGCTGGAAAAAAATGATAAAATAGGAGTGCTTTTTGTAGTCACAAAAATAAATTTTAAAAAATGCTACATTTTACCCACGGAATGGGCAACTGTACTATCAATTTTCAGATGGTATCAGAATTCCTAACCGTGAAGGGAAAATTGTACAACGTAAATCTACAATGAACGCCAGATGAATGAAATAGTTGACACGTATCTCTTGAAGGCAGTTGTACTGGATAAGTGATTTCCAATTAACCGCACTTTAATTCGCACATTAGTGGGCAGTCTGAACAAGAGTCACGCTGTAGTCTACTATTGCCCGAACGCATGACGATGAAGTTTGAAGAACGATCCAATCCAATTCATAAGCAGATAGTTTTATTGCAAAAGGGAAATGGTAACAGCCAACGCAACTACATATGAACCGATATCCGTAGATAGATACTTGACGTGCATTTAACGAATAATATCCCCGTCATCACTTGCTTCATTCCAACTGGTCCTCGATCATTTATTTCTGTGGTCTTTTCTTTATCAACAGTTAGTCCATCGATCAATTACCCAACTCAGTATGAAACGAGATTCAACACCCCTCGAGAGAAAGAGAGAGAGACATTGAGCGTCTATGCTTCTTATCGGTTTACTGGGTCCATCAATGCCAGAGACTGGGACACGATCTGCGTGCAGTTGGTCTCAAACCGCTCCGGTTGGACAGCAATGAACCGCAATATCCACGGAGCCGACTCATCCTCTAGCAGCAGACAATTGCATAAAGTCAACTCTGCATGTGGACGTTTTATTCAAAAATGCCCTCCATAACCGTTCAACCAAATGAGTTCACAGTATTTTGGGCTCTCTAAGGTAGGAAGCGTCATCGGTCGACGGAAAACAGGCCCAGAGGCGCAGATAAATGACTGTAATAAGGATGAAATACATCGAAATGAAAGCTCAACCTTCTGTGGTGGGAGTACAACAAACGCAATGGAATAGGTCAGATGTGTAGAGCATGTAAGACTTACCCTATGAACTGAAGACAAGCGAGCAGTTGAGTCCAAACTGCTGCGGAGCACCGCTATCGAATTCAATGAACGCAATAAACGACGGAGGAACATTGATTGTATCGGAAAAATTTGTACTACTGAAAAAACGCCTGAAATACAAAGAAGCAAAATATACCAAAGACGGCTGAGTTCAGACTGTCAAACAAATCACGGTAGGATAAACTTTATAAAAAAGAAAAAAGTTCCATGATTTGCATGTGAGCGGAATACTGCGGGATTGCCCAAGTAGGTGAATTTTATTGCGGAATTCACAACCGGAGCCTTGGACCAGCCAAAGTCCGGCTGGCAAAGTATCCTGGTGGGGTGTGAAAACTGCGTTCCACTGGGGTAGGTGTCCAGTTCATTGGATCGTACGCCCGTCGGACAGGGTCAAACGTCCAAGGTGCCTAATCGAGCCGGTGACCACTATCNTGTGTGTGTGTGTGTGTGTGTGTGTGGTTCGCACGCCTGTTGATTGGTTTGGAATCAGGATTTTAGCCAACTACCCGGGGTTGAATCACCGAGTGTTGGTTTCCGCCCTATCATTTTGGTGGGAAAACACCTCAATCAGAGAAAGTCAGTGAATGATCACTGCCAAACTCTCAATGCATAAATATTTAATGAGAAGATGTAAGGGGAACAGGGGTTTGGCCTATTTGCAGGGGGAAAGCAACTGAATATCTATGGTCAATGAACAGAGTAAACAATCTAGTAATGCATACATAACTCCTCAAGCATTTAGGCCTGATGGGA